AACACCAGGTGGTTACGATACAATCTGGGTGGTAGTGGATAGATTAACAAAGTCCGCCCATTTCCTACCAATTAAGGAGGCATACAAGATGGAAAAGTTGACCAGAACATACCTAAAAGAGATTGTAAGATTACACAGAGTCCCAATCTCTATTATCTCTGACCGAGATAGTAGATTCACCTCTCGATTTTGGCAATCATTACAAAAGTCCTTAGGTACCCGTCTAGACATGAGCACGGCTTACCATCCTCAGACAGATGGTCAGAGTGAACGAACCATCCAAACCCTAGAAGATATGCTCCGAGCCTGTGTGATAGACTTTGGAAATTCATGGGATACTCACTTGCCTTTGATTGAGTTTTCCTACAACAACAGCTATCACACCAGCATAAAGGCCGCACCATTTGAAGCATTGTATGGAAGGAAATGTCGGTCACCACTATGTTGGGCAGAGGTTGGTGACACCCAATTGGCCAAGGTACATTCAGGAGATACTCTACGAACTGGACCCGAGATAATTCACGAGACAACTGAAAAGATAGTACAAATCAGGGACAGACTCAAGACCGCACGTGATCGTCAGAAGAGTTATGCTGACGTAAGGCGTAGACCCTTAGAATTTCAGGTAGGAGACAGAGTCATGTTAAGGGTATCACCATGGAAGGGCATGATCAGGTTTGGAAAGAGAGGCAAACTGAACCCACGATATATAGGAACATTTAAGATACTAGAAAGGATTGGCCCTGTTGCGTATCGACTCGAACTACCTCAACAGTTAGAAAGGGTGCATGATGTTTTCCATGTATCGAACTTGAAAAAGTGTCTTTCTGACGACACACTCAAAATCCCTCTTGAGGAAATCCAATTGAACACCAAACTTCATTTCATTGAGAAGCCCGTAGAGATAATGGACCGAGAAATAAAACGATTAAGGCAGAGCCGCATACCTATTGTGAAGGTACGCTGGAACTCTCAGAGAGGACCAAAGTTCACTTGGGAACGGGAAGATCAGATGATGCAGAAATATCCCCAATTGTTCAAAGATGCCCCGACTGCAAGTTAAATTTCGGGACGAAATTCTTTTAACGGGGGGAGAATGTAACAATTGGTATTTTTAGGTCGAAATATGTCGACCAAATCACCGCAATAAGACTGTTATATTATAACCAAGGTAAAACGATGGAATAATATATATATATATATATATATATATATATATATATATATATATTATATATATATATATATATGACAAAAAATTCATAGTCTCTTACCGAACACCCCAACTTATTAAAAATATTGTCTAACGATAAGAAGAGTTACAAATATCGTGTATTGACACCCGAATTTAGAGTAGCTATATGTGTCAAGTAAAATATATATACATACAAATGTAATATCGTCCGGTCCACAAGAATTGAGATTTGCATAAATTATTAATACTAGCTATGCACTCATTATTACCTCCATGCACGTATAAAGTTTCTTGGAGAAATCTTTATGACTAACTCTATAATAATAATAATAATGGAGAAGGAATCATCACAAAACTTGGCTGCATGGAAAACCCTATTCACCTCCATAATTTCAATTGCCATCATTTAGTTGTGTACGTGAATGCATTGTCAAATCCATAGCAATACTCTCCTCTTAAATTACCACCAAAGGTTATGTACCTTTTGTCATCAAATACCTTAACCAATATGAAGAATAGTTTCCCTGCAAGTGCGGACTAAATACATATTTATAATCTTAAAAGGTCATAAATGTATTTTTGATTATAAACCATTGGAGTCTAAACCTATAAAGCTCACCAACATTTTTGTTGACGTATTTTTAAAACGTATGTATCTTCAGGATCTTAAAAACTGGAAGAATGCCTGCAGGGTAAGAAGGATATTTCTCCTTAAATAAACTATTGTCCGAGTAACCGGACCTTTTGATATATGCTTTATTGAACTTGAATCATGTATTAGTCGTCGTTTGGGATTTATTAAACAATGTATTTCTTCTTTTCATACTTTGGAAGAATGTAATGTTATTTGAATCCTGTAATATTCGATGTATGTTGTTAACTATGAACCAACGTTTCATGTCGCAACCCCGGTGATTCCGCCATCGGTCGGGGTGTGACAGTATATATGAAGCCCATCGAATTTTAAAATTGGAATGTATCAAGATTTCTGAAATCTGGCTAATAAATAGAATTCAAACTATTTTCCCTGATTTGTTGGGATAAACAATCTGTGATCGTAATTGAGGAATGTCTGCAAATTTTGTGGGATTTGATTGATCTTAAGGTAGACTCAAAATGAGCGGGAATGTAAAACATAAGGTGAACTAAAACATGACACGTGGCATGGAGGAGGTGTAGAAAGAAGACATGTGGCTCCTTAAAGAGTCTTTTATTAGGAAGAGATTATCCAAGATATATATATATATATATATATATATATATATATATATATATATATATATATATATATATATATATATATATATATATATATATATCTATATATATATATATATATATATATATATATATACTAGCCATCTACCCGCGCCAAGCGTCGGGTGCGGTTTTTTTTTCAGACATTACTTCGTATATAGGATTTTTGTTTTTGCTTAAATAGTTTAGTACACATAAACATTTATCAATAAGAGTCATGCTAGTAGAAACGAAATCAGAAATAATCAAAATGAAAAGTTGAGATTCTTTAAAAATGAATACGAACACATGATTGGCTGATCAATATTGATCGCGCAACACTTCTTTATACACGACATTTGACGTATAGACTTCACTGCCGTTGAATTGTTCATCGGGCTTCACCAATACTTTTGTAGTGGCACGTGATATCCCTCTGGATAATGCCACGTATAGTTGGCCATGCAAGAAAACCGATTCTAGAAGATAAATTCCTACATTTGGAATTGTTTGTCCCTGAGCTTTGTTTATTGTCATTGCAAAACATAATCGAATTGGAAATTGCTTTCTCTTAAGCTTGAACGGGAACAGGTCATCTTCAGACGGACTTAGAGGAATCCTTGGCAAAAATACCCTCTTTCCAGCATGTTGACCAACAGCTATTTCGGCATCAATGACATTGTGCTGAAAACTTTTACATATCAATCGGGTGCCGTTACATAATCCATTTGATGGGTCGAGATTCCGTAACAGTATTATCGGGCATCCAACTTTCAGTCTTAAGTAATGAGGGGGCAAACCACTAACACTGAGCGTGTTCAAGAATTCCACGGGATAGAAGTTATTTATATCGTCCACGGCTTCATCAAAACTATAGTAAATTCTCTATTCTCCATGGAATCGGCCGATCAAATAATCATTAATCTCATCGACACTATCTTTTCTTGTGGATAGTATTGCATGCGAAATAATATAATCTGGTTCAGATCTATTAATTTCAAAGGATGGAAAGATTGCATCAATCAAAGCATGCAATGACTTTTCTTTTTCAGTGAAGGGAATTACCATATCATCAGGGATGCGAATAAAGTTTCCGTGCATCCTTTCTTCAACTCCATCACCGACACGTAATAGAAAGTCTGAGAACCATGGATCAGATAATGCTCTCATATTTATAGTTAACCGCAACTTGATAATCGCAGACCAAAGAGGCGACATTCGTATGCTAGAATCCACAGTCTGCTCGTGTTCCACGTCTAACCACCGGCAACACTTGTCTGAAATCACCTCCCAAAACCATTATCTTTCCACCAAACGGGAGCATTACCCCAGTGATATCTTTCATTGTACGGTCAACCTCCTCCAATGCATGTCTTTTAGCCATAGACGCTTCATCCCAAATGATTACTTTTGTAGTCCGAAGTAGTTTAGCAGTACCACTTTGTCTTGAAATCTTGCAAACGGGTGCGAATAATTTCATTTAGAAATTAATTTCAAGAAACGATTAGGTTTTTTTTTTTTTTGCGCAAATAGTTTTCTACATCTGGACAATTATCAATAAGAGTTATGTTAGCAGAAACAAAATCAATCGGAATTAAAAATGAAAAATTGAGATTATTTACAAATGTACATGAGCACATGATTGATTGTGTATTATTAATCGTACAACAGTTCTCTATACATCACATTTGGCGAGTAGTTAAAGTGGTCTAAAAATGTTTATCTCTCATAGTAGTACATTCTTAAAAAAAATTAATAAAAAGTTTTGACAATCTAATCTTATTTTTTGTAATATGTAAAAATTAGTTACCATGGATAAATAATTAAAATTGGTTTTCATTTATAAATAACTTTCCAATACAAATACTTGTATTCTTAGAAAAATAAGTACGCTTATTTGATACTATGCGATTGTAATATTACATTATATTTAAATCTTACATAAATATAAATGTATGACATTATTTGATATTGGATGGTGTGGTTACAACTATATATTATCAATAATAACAAAGACCAACATAATTCCATTCTTCTTTAGATATACGGTTTTTTCTTTTCTTTTATTTTTTAGCTTATTTTAATGAACCCATGAAACAATTTTTTTTTTATCATTTAATAATGTACCCAACATATTTTAATAATTGCAATCACCACATTCATAGTAAAAGTGTAGTTCCAGTGTTCCACCATTTGAATCATTTTAAAAAACTTATGGATTTAAAATATTATTTAGTATCAATTATTCAATTTTAAAAAAATATAGAGTCCTTTAATACTTAAAATAATTTTCTTGAAGACTTTGTTCGATTAAAAAAGTTAAGAATGATTTATTTTATATTTGATAAGTATTGTTTAATTCCAATGAATGTTTGATTTTCCCCTTTAATTATTTCTTTAAGTTTAGATATTATAATAATATTTATCATTGTCGGTTAATACATAATATTATCAATGTTATTTGTGTTTTTCCCTGAAAAATCCAGTGTTTGTCTACTGTATCTGGTTTTCAAAAATTAATTCGGCACATCATATAAACATAACCCTATTAAAACAAAAGTTTCAACCGTTAAATAACACCCTTTAACATGTCTATTATTGTCAAAAAAAAAAAAGTTGCAACTCATTAAATAATAAAGTACAGTACTCTACTAATCTGTTATCATCCAAACATATATTAAAACCAATTTGATAATCATTAATCGTGCTTGTTGGACAACTTCAACATGAGCATGGTTGCGTAGGCTCATCCGTTTTAACCAAAAAACTATCATCAATAAAAAGCGATCCAACATCCAGGCCTGCAAGATTGACCATTAACTACACCTTAATACATTTGCATCACAAAGAAAAGTGACAATAAAAAGCATAAAACGGCATCATGACATCACAATAAAAACTGAAGATTTTATCCTTCCTACCAAATTTGTTTATGTATATGGATAAAAAATTCATTAGTTTTTTTGAAATAAATAAAATAATAGCCATTGCACACACATAGAGAGAGTAAAATGGGCGCTTTACCCCTTTATGTGAGAGAGAGAGAGAGAGGTAAGCTGCAAGTAATAGCAACTTACTTCCTCTGAATTAGAAAAACCATTCTAATTATACATAGTTAGACATCGTATATTTAGTTTACCCATTAAAAATTGCATAAAATGCCACATGTACCTGTCAATCTGTCATGTTAATTTCATCATTGTTCTTGCTAAAACCCTGCGAAGTTGATTTCTACAAAACCAAAATGAAACATTTTAACTTCTTAACCTTAAACATGGACAAAATATAAGAAATAGCAGTGTAAGAAACAACAAAATTGTATAAATCATGTTAGTTTTCTGGTTACTACTCTTTAAATCTAAATTAGCTTTATTATATCCAGGTTTTATACACACACAATATCCATATTTTACACAGTTATGTTTTCCCTTTTTTTATCAAGTGGAGCATGTTGAACCTTTTTCATACTAACACAGATTTTGCACATACACACGATCCATATTTTACAAAGAATGGTCACATGTAATATTTTTCATTTATTTATCCGGATTTTACACGGTTAATATGTTTACCTTTCATCTATTTTCAAAGGAGCCAATGTTGGACCTGCAACTCATAATACATCATATAACACGTGATACAGTGATAAAAGAACGTAAAATCATAAAAACAAACAATGTACCTCTAGAATGATAACTTCAACCATTGATCTTTTAAAACGAAATCATAATAAAGCATCTAAGGTATGGATTAGAGTTAGAAACATCTGCCCAAAAAACATCCAAAGTCAATGTCTCTCAGTAGAATTAGGTATGGATATTTACCTTATAATCCATTCATTGTATCATCTTCAATAATGTCATTTAACACATCAGTTTGAACACCTTTATTTTCGAGAATTCCAAACCTTTAAACATGAAAATGAAACAAACAAACATTATAATCGAAAAGGTTGAAGTAGACTCTAACCTTTGAAAACATAATTTCTAAATAGAACCTCTTTTTAGCCATCATGATTCGTCAAAAACCCAAAAAACAGAAATCTTTCAAACAAACAAATTCAAAAATAGAAATAGAAATGCAGCAAGAAATAATAGTAGGAGGTAATTTTCATAACTGTTGCACCGATGAAGAAGTCAAGACAAGAGGTCGGAGGCCATTTCAGATAACCAAATCATAAAGATCAACCTTTGGGAAAATAAGCCACTTCTCGATCCATGAAATCCGAAATCAAATAGGTTTGGTCCTGTTTTTGAAAACACACATAGATAAAGAGAGATAGAAATTGTAATCAGGGTGTTTTACCTCTTTTTAGTCGGGATAGAGTAGCAAGTTGTCCATTTGTACGTTGGTGGTTCGGTGATGGCAGGGGTAAACGGAGGTGGCAAGTGGTGTTAGGGCTTTTTAACTGAGAGAGGAAGAAAATCTATTTCATATAAATAGAAATGGAAAATGATATAGCGAAGGAGAAGAGCACCTGATATAAGGAGAGGGCATGCCAAAATTCAAAGATTTTTGCCCGGATCTCGGGTTGAAGACGACTTCATCAAAGATTAAAGGATTGAGTGAGGGGGTGTTTGGATCGGGAAAAAATGGCTGGTTATTAGCTTATTGTTTATTCTCATCATAATAAGCTAATTTAAGTGTTTGGATAGGATGCTTAAAAAATCAGCTTATTGTGGTATGAATAAGCAAAATAAGCTGATTTTAATAAGTAAGGGGTAATGTTTATTGCTTATTGCTTATTGTTTATTGGTCATTTTACTCATATAAGCTGTTTTATTTTGCCAAACACTTAAATGCTTATTGCTTATTCCCACCACAATAAGCTAATCCAAACACATTTTAAAAAAAATGTTTATTCCCACCACAATAAGCAAATAAACAATAAGCTAATAAGCTAAAAACTATTTATCCAAACACCCCCTCAAAGTGTGCGAGAGATAAGGAAGCATATGGGAATGAATTGGTCAAAGTCTGTCGAGATATGGGAATGAATTGGTCAAAATAATAGTCTGAAACTTATCTCAGGGAAAAACACAAAGGTGATAAGAGGTTCTTGACTTTTTTTACTTGTTGAATGAGTCTCCTAATATGAATCAGTCAATCGTACTTTTAGCAAAAAATTTGGGGAATTCTCATTTGAATGGGTATTCCCTCGTTGACTTGCTTGATTTTTGGATAGAATATATCGACCAGATAAGATTGCAATGCTTACATTCATTGTACATATCGCATAAACTGGTTGTAAATATTGCAATAAGCCTTGTACCTCTTAAAATTCAGCAAAACATGCTAAATGTTTATTAAGGTATTAGCCGTCTACCCGCGCTAAGCGACGGGTGCGAATAATTTCTTTCAGAAATTTGTTTATAGAGACAATTAGATTTTTTATGCAAATAGTTTACAACATCAAAAAAATTATCAATAAGAGTCATGCTAGCAGAAACAAAATCAATAAGAATTAAAAATGAAAGTTGTGATTCTTTACAAATATACATGAACACATGATTGATCATGCATTATTAATCGTGCAACACACCATATTTGATGTATAGGCTTCACTATCGTTGATAGGGATGTCAAAAAATCATGTGGGACCTCGTTCCCGTGGAGGGCCCGTCCGGTATAGGGGTATTTATTAAAAAAAATCGAGGGCGGGGGCAAAGTTAACCCCCGTTTTAATTTCGGGGGCGGGGCGGGGGTGACCCATGGGGACTCCGTTAATAAATTATACATATATTTACATCTATTAACTATATAAATATAATAAACAATAACATGATTTTGAGCTTAATTACTAAATAAAATAAATAAATAAATAAATAAATAATTTAAGTTGTTAGCATAATGTTTTTAAGATGTCATAACTTTTTTATTTTTAACATGTAAAATTATACTATAAATGATTATTTGTTATCTAAACTTTGATCCCAAATATAAAATAATTACAATCAGAGAATAATTGCTAAAAACATCATGCCCTCATTATACTTTCACTTAGCTGATGAACCATAAACTGGAATTTTTTCCGAAAAGGTCTACACAAAGGGTTCAATGCAAGAAAATAACAATGTTCTTTCATTAATTTGCTCACTACGACATTCTACATACATGTCTTTCTACAAGCATTGTACATTTAAAAATCACAATAATAGAAATGAAAAAACAAAAAGCAATCATGTTTTAATAAAAATTAAAAAGATCGAAAATAACAAAAATGAGCTGAAATGACTTTCTAATTCCCTTTTCAAATGGTCCCTAAAGGTCAGGTTTGTTATATCAGTACAAGGCTTTTGGCTCAAATATTGACATAAATATTAGCAATTACTGTAGTGGTTTCGTGGGCTATATCTTTCCTCTTCATAAGGAATGCTCAATGAAATTCTCTTTAATAATTTATTCTAAACACTACCTCATTTCCTCTGTAATAAAATATATCAATTCATGCCGATCAAAATGAACTCATATTAGTCGTACGGTCAGAAACAACAAAACACGATGGAAGTGTCATGTTTGACCACATCTTAGCAAAACAGAATATGCTTACCACTATATACTAAGAATACCTTCATATTGACTCATAAAACTTTTAGAAAAGGTTGGCATCGAGAACGAAACAACAACAAAGACAACAATTAAAAACTTTCGAAAATTGGGTGTCTAATAAAATAATGCACTGATTTTTGCACGTAGGGAACACATCACATATAAACAATAGTAAGATCGCATATAGTTCAATTTGAGTAAATCCCATATGGAATTGACTGTAAGGTCTCTTTAACATATCTTAAAACCTTCATTTCAAGCACCACTTCAATAAGACCATTTAAAATAGAATTAAAAATTATATGGCTTGTTACTGGAATCAATGGATAATATATGAATGATGCTAACCTGATGCTCATTCAAGAGAAATATGATTGGGGTACTTTTTCCATCAACATGATCCATGGTATTACAAATTTTTAGTTAAACGCTAATTTCTATACATAACTTCAAACAACTTACAACTTAGTAGATCCACATCAAGATTTTTTTTTTAAATGGCATAAATCTATACCTTTTACATGGTCACCTATGAGACTATGAATAAGTAGATCATCCCCATGATTTCCTGAACGACTTAATATTTCCTTACACGGTAAATTTAGCACGAGCCACCAGGTACGTATACCTGAAAAGAACATATACAACTTCAATGTCAATATAAATAAAATGCATGTACACATCTAGAAACCCAGATTAGGAAATCAACTTTTCAAAGCTTCATCAAACATGTTCTGGCAGAAATACCCAAAGGAAAAGTAGGGGAATCTCAAAAGCAATTTTTTTTACAAATTCTCGATTTACCGATATTACCTTAATATAGGTTTCCTGATATTTGTCATTCTTCTAGCCCTGCAAACTTCTATGATATAATGATATTCAAATACATCCCAATTCATTTTTTTACTTCCCAACCAAATGCAATTTTAACTTGTCAAAATTGAAAATTTTCAGTTTCAAAAGTCCATACCATATATTTATCATCATATCAGTCTGGTGAAAGAGTGAGTGACACCATAGACAAATTGATGTGAAAAAAGATGCAAAATTACAACAAAAGTTAGTTGTGTCTATAACCATGAGCACTAAAAAAATTGCATCAAATATAAGTATTTTACCAGACACAATCTGACAAAGGACACACTTGCACGTGTCTTATAGAATTGAGACACAATATAGTGAAAGAGTGAGTGTCACAGCCATCTCTTTCTATTTGATTCATTTCCCCAATCAAAAGCCCAAATGCTTGTGTAGATCTAGCTTTGAAAATTTCACATTCTGTAGGTACAGACTTATCAAAATTATTGAGATACACCAAATTGTAAGAACCGAACTACATACCAACATACACTAACTCACATCCTTCATCAGCTTCATATTTTCTGTTTCAACTTTTATTATATGAAAAATAACGGAATGTAGTTAGAATCCCATATAAAAAAAAGGAAAATACATACTAAATGCAAAAAGAAAGAACCCTAGATTGTGAATACGAAATTCAAGGCTACATCATTCATGTTTAAGCAGAAATATTAATAAATTGGGGAAATCTCAAAATCAAAACTTTTTACAGATATCAATTAATACTTATAGGTGAGGATCATAAAACACAGAAGATCGAGGCTTTGGGTTTAAATCATTGCTTACCTTGAATGGTAGCTTCATCAAGGATCCTCGAATAAGAAAAAAGATGCAAACATATGATGGGATGCCGGTTGCAGATCACCAGATCTAGATCTTGAACCAAGTGCCAGTTAAGAACGTCCGATTTTGATGTTTTGACGTCGATTTCATTTTATCGAACTGGTCTATTGCTGCTGGTATGTACCTTGAGGCGTTTGATGATGGTGTTGAGATAGTGATGGTATCAGAGCACATAAGCCAGTTTACCTGATTCACTAACATTAGCAGTTTAGTAGAAATTTGTGTTCCATTAAATGCATCTTGAAAAAAACTCGTACCTTTGATTTCCTGAAGTCATAGTTTGAAACTCAAATATGTGGAGGTAGGAGGGTTTATGCGACTGTGTGTATGGGCGTTCATGGTAGTCGGTGGGGTATTTATGGGTAGTTGAAGGCGGAACAGGGATCTACTTTGGCCGGTTCAAAGAGGAGGGAGGCGATGGATCTAGGGTTTTGAGTGTGTGGATGTTTCAGGGCGAGAAACGATGGTTACCAGAATTAGTGTGCATTGGTCGATAAGTTTAGGGTTTTTATTTTTTTTTAGAGATGGAGATGTAGAAGGAGAAGGGCGAGAGTGAAAGGAAAACAGTGATGGTGGTGGTGAGTTTTTTAGAATCATATACGGAGAAGAAAACTGATCTTTCCAATACACTTGGATCTTTCATTGACAACACAATCAAGGCTCCTAGTTTTCTATTGTGGCGGATACGGATGGTTGAAGGCGGCTTTATAGTGTATTCCAAGTTGGCCGATTCAATGAAGGCGATTTTTATGGTATTCCCTCGACCGATTCAAATGGCAGAAATCGAGAGAATGTTGTTCAATTTATACGATAAAATTTAGTATTTTTGTAGACCAGATAAGATTTCGTTTTTCAATGCTTAAAATGATTGTAACTATTGAAGTAAGACTTGTATCTCTTAAAATTAAGCATTTGAGTCTAAATGCTTATATATATATATATATATATATATATATATATAGTAAAAAAAACAAAAAAAAAAGACAAGTCTGCCCTTAAAGAGGTAAGGAGGTAATAAGAAGACTTGTTTCAAATTTTATCTTTTAATAAAAATGATTGGATTAAAGTACCCAAAAAGCCCTTTATGTTTTGTTTGTTATGAGAAAGGAACATTTTTACTTACAAAGTTCTACATAATGGAGCAAGAATAAACAGTAATCAGTTTTTGTGTTTCTTTTTTCCTTAATACATAAACAATGGTTTAATATAGTTAGCAAGTCATGAATGAGGCTTTCTAGTTAAGTCCTAACTTTTCACACTTTTCCCTCATCTACTTTTCCTTTCCATCTATCAAGCATTTTTGAACATTTACCCAGATAATACATCATGTAAAATAAAGCATATATTATCGAATCTTGAAAATATGAATTTAGATGTCATTCAGACGCCTCATGTTGCCTCCCTCTCCACCATTCCTTCAGATATCTAGAATGACATATTTAAAGTTTTAAAATTTAAAAATATAATAAAATGTTAACATATATTAAAAAATGTTACTTTTGCATAAGACACTTATAGGTTCTCAATGCAGAACACATGAAAATTTAATCAAATCGGTTACATCCTCTTCACCTATAAACCATATTCTAACATTATATAAAGGTATGACCATGCCTCATAATACACATGAAGGTATCAAAGAAAAACCTTGTAAAAAAATAACTTTTTAAGTCCGCTTTCATACAAGTTGAAAACATGTTTTTCCTTCAAGGGCATCAAGAGAAAGTATTTCAATGGACAAAAGTCTTTATTTTTCTCCTTACCTTCAATGAAATTCTAAAAACATTTGTTCACTAAGGTTTTTGTTTGCTAAGTCAAATCAATGAAAATATGTTGTTATTTCTTGCATTTGAATAAAAAGGGCTAAATACAGATAATAACAACTTACTTCCACTTACAAATATGGTAAAAAACCCTAAATACAATAAATAGCAAACTACATTGTTATTTCTTGTTTTTAGGGAAGAAATGACTAAAGTTATAGTAAGAGTATCTTAGGACACGTTTCTGACTGGGTTAAAGTTCGGCAGCGGCTTTTGGAAGCTACAATTTCCTAATCAATTTAGAAGTTATACTAGCAATTATAGTTATAGACTTATCCAAGTGGGAGACTATTAGATTAGGTGTCTAAGCTCATAACTAAAATTGATATATACTTAAATTGATAGTATCAAATTCTTTTTGGGTTGCCCTCAAACCTAACAATTGGACAAGATGAATTTTAGAGAGAGAGATTAATTTATTATGTGATTAATAAATTGAAATAAATAGCTTATTAATATTATGAAAATAATATATTAATTAAAAAATATATTATTTAATTAATAATTGATCAGAAATTAATTAGAATTAATTTTGGGATTAATGGTATTAATTAAAAGTGCAATTGTTCAATAGTTGAACAAAAGGCTCTAGAACCTTCCAACCCTAGGGGTGGACGGTTTCAAGGAGCATATTCTAGGGTTTCTAGAATATCTCATGTGGATAAATAAGGAATGAGATAAATACCATATTTGAAATATCTACCCTAACTAATAAAACAATAGTTTTCATGTCCACTTGTCATCTTCCTGTAATGTCATGTTAGCTTTTGCCACTTGTTAACATTTCACACCTTCACAAAAAATCCGGAATTTTAAATATGTGATATTAATACAAAATCGTTTGAATAAATAAATAACTAATCACTTAAATACCATTTAATACCTGTCTTCCAATAGTTTCGGTGGTCAAACGAAATCATTGAGCATTCCATAATAACTTTCAAAAAAAATCAACGGATTTTATTTTAATTGCATTCTATAATTTTCTGCTTTCAAGTTTTATCATCCCAACATTTCAAGGATTTTCAAAATCTTTTGTAATCTGACTCCATATATTGAAACCAATACATATTTTCTTCCCTTCTTTCTTAAACTTAAACTGTTCCAAACCTTCTACAAGTTCCGCATTTTGTATATGTCATCTTCCAATCGGTTCGTCCATAGGCTTCAACCTTCGGTCTCCATTAGGTACATATCTAATATGTTACTTTAACGTTTCTGGGAAAAAAACAAACTTTTCTTTGAATATGGATGAACAAAATTTTTTATTTTAACGTTTCTAAATAAAAAACACAACGATTTATGGAGACAATCTAGATTGGTATACTTGTGTTAAGATCATGGGTTGGCAGGACCAGTCAATCAATGGTTCAATTGGCTCAAGAACACACAAGATTTACGAAATTAATCTTTCTACTGGTTTATGGAGTTATGAAAACTATCGTCCATTTTTTTTTACTATTTGGTCAGTTTGATTTCTGGAATCTATTTTTTTTACTTTTTGGTAATTTTGAAATTTGTTATTATCAGTTTAACTAATTACATGTATTTCTCAACTAACACATCAAAGTTTTCATAATTCATTTTAACTGTTTTCTATTTATTTGTATTTCAATTCAACATCTTATATTTGACTACGTTTGTGAACTGTTTACTTTCAACATAATGTCTGTTCCAACCATCACCTACATGAATGACATTGGTGTGGTATCACCTGATACCACATTTAAAGTACGAATACTCAGCTTGTGGAACTTCATTCCAAAATCAAAGAAACAAATATTTCCATCGAAATTATTCTTATGGATGAAAAGGTTGCTTTCAATAATTGACTGACCTTGTTATTATACAAACCTTTAGTTATATTTTTATTATATCATTGACGAACATTCTTATTTTCTCTGTAGGGCACTAATATACAATGTCGTCTTTTCAATACTCAGTTCCACAAGTTCCAACATCTTCTAAATGTTGGAGACACTTTATAGATAAAGAATACGAACATGGATGAGAAACAAGAAGGTTTTAATATTACTGGACAAGACCAGCAAATTGTGTTGCAATGGAATACTATTGTTAAGAGATGTACTGATTTTATGAGTCCAGTTCATAGTTTTGTGTTTGTTGATTTTGCCTCGATTTTACAGCGACAATGTCCTACAAATTCATGTTTTGATAAGTTTTTTTACTTCACTTTTTTTTAAATTTTCTTATGAAACCCTATAGGTCATATTAATCTTTTTATGATTCTTAGATGTAATCGGTCATATCGTGTCACGTCGTGATCTTGATTCATTTAACTCGAATCAATCAAAACACAACATCAAGTTGACTTTAAGTGATTTAGAGTTAGTTCTTTACCCTTTACTTTTTTTAAATGTATATGTTATTTATTATGTAAAACTTTTACTTCATTATTGCAGTGGAACCGACCTTAGGGTTACTTTGTTTGGTTTTCAAGCCCATCAGCTAAGTGATTTTTTGAAAAATAACACAAATGTATCTTGTGTTATCATAATTGTCGAGTTTGTTTCTCTCAATGTTTAGAATGGTTTGTGATAATATTATATATATTTTAATTTTGGAAAATAAAATATTTGTTATTTATTTATTTTTTTCTTTATCAGAGCGTGTTTCGGTACAATCTTACTTTGATTCTTCTAAGTTGTTTGTTAATGCTGATATTGTTGAGATTAACGAGCACCGGAAAAGGTTAGTTGCATTGTTATAATTTATTATTAATGCCCTAACATAGATAACTACTAATCTTCATCTTTACATTTTAATATATTTATTACGTAATATAGGTTGGTGGGTGTCGATGGGATTAAGAAATCTGAAAGTAGTATTACTGTACTACCAAGTCAAACCTTTTCATCCAATCATTGGTTTCAAAGTGATTTTGAAATAAAAAATGTGTGTGATGTCGTCCAACCAATGAAGGTATATTATATCAATATACTCTATTGTTTTATTTTTCAACTATTTACATTTCACATATGCTTTCTAATTGATCTGCTTTTGTCTTTTGTTACAGGCATGAAAGTATATTTTGATTGGAACAATCAAGGGTATAAGACAAGACCATGAGTGATATTATAATGCTTGCATTAAATGTGGGAAGAAGTGCATAGAGATTTATAATATACATCATGCCTCTTATTCCCATACACGCATTTCTGACTTAACAACATTTAAGTGTAAAAATGACTTATGCAACTTGTCACTTGTGAAGAAAAAAGAAAAGTATTTAAAACAACCTTGACTATTAAAATTGGAATCTTTAAAATAGATAATTGTCTAATATGTTGATAATAAATTTTTTCCTACAGGTTTCTGATCTCTATCACCGGAGGTATATCGAATTTGTTTTTGATCCACAGAGAGGTGATAGTTTGGATTTGTTCCCAACTGAATTAAACGTCTTAAAACAACGAAAGACAGCTTTCTTGGTCGAAGTTACACTTTACAATGAACAAAACCCGGCCAGCTTTTATTCGATTAACAAAATTACTAAAGATGCTGGAATAATTTTTGAGTTTGAGAGCAAAGTATAATCTTTGGTATATACTTTAACTCCAATGATATTTAATTCCATTGTATTTTGTTACCTGACTAACCTTTATCTTGACATATTATTATGAAGGGTGGTGGATCCCGATCATATAATCAACAAACCGATGTCTTATTTTCGGATGAGATAAAAGTTGTAAAGGTATATATTATATTATTATTATATTACATTATAATATAAATCGTCCCACTTTAATATATTGATGAACATATTTAACATTTACTAACGCTTAATTACAAGTAACCAAGCATTATTTTTTCACTTTTAGGATTGTGCTTTTCAAACAGGAGATAATGTAACTCCTTCTACTTTAGAAAAATCAACCGTGACATCACCTATTAAGACGTTTAACAACTCCATTGATCTAAAG